GGTTCTAGTGAGGAAGGACATCGTACATTAATGTACGATACGCTCTTGAGAGCTGGATTTACCTGTATACCAAACAATGCGCTCTATCAGTATAAAAATGGAGGCGGCGGGCGAGGAACTAAGGATCTACGCAGCATACCGCCCGCCAGGGACTCCATTCTACTCCTCAGACGTCCGGACGATAGTGGCAGGCGAAACACCGACCATCATCGCCGGGGATCTAAACGCCAAACACCCGGCGTGGGGATCCAGAGTGATCACTCCGCCGGGTCATGCACTATACGAAGATGCGGAGAAGAACAACTACGACGTTTTATGTCCCGAAGAACCTACACACGTTCCGACAGATCTACGGAAGCGTCCGGATGTATTGGACATCGTGCTCTCTAGGAACGTCAACTACCCGATAGTGGTAGAGGTGCTGTACGACCTGAACTCACAGCACCTCCCGATTCTGATCACCCTTGGCACAAAGGCGGTGACTACGCCGCCCAGAGCATTCAAGACACGTGTCGACTGGAGGCTCTACTATCAACATCTGCAGGAGAGACCTCCAGTCCACCATCCCATAAGCACAGCGGATGACGTAGAGGCCGCTGCGGCCAGAATCACCAAGAACATCCAGGAGGCCCTCCACGCGGCCTCTACGATCGTCCCGATCACAGCAAGGCGAGACGATCTGCCGCGAGAGACATGCGTGCAGATCAGGCGCAAGAAAGCGTTGAGGAAGCTCTGGGCGCGTACTCGCTGCCCTAAACTGAAGACACAATTGAACACCTTGTCGGAGGAACTGTCGGTTGCAGTCCAGGCAGTCTACAGAGGAGAGGCCTGGGAGTGGCGCATGTGGAAAGCAGAAGAGCATGACGCGTCGCTCTACAAACTGAACCGACAGTTGACCAAAGCCAGACCTCCCGTTTGCCCGCTGACCAACAGCGCGGGTGAACGCTGCTATGATGCCAAGGGCAGAGCGGATATCGTAGTTGAGCACTTCGAGGAGCAATTTATGCCGAACTCAGCAAGTGCGGAGTTCATGGAGCTTCATGCCCGGAAGGAGAGTCGCGTACAGGAGTTCCTGTCGTCGGCCGCGCCCCCGCTTGCTGGAGAGTGGTTCATCTCCCCCGCTGAACTGCGGAGGACAGTAACCCGCCTGCAACCGACGAAGGTGCCTGTGCACGATGGGATTATCAACGCTGCACTCCGACAACTGCCCAATAGAGTCCAAGTAGAGCTTGGTCGACTCTACAATGGGATACTGCGGACATCCCACTTCCCGGAGGACTGGAAGAAAGGCAAAATCATCGTCTTGCCGAAACCCGGGAAGGACAGGCGTAAAGCTGCCAGCTACAGGCCGATCACGCTATTACTGCACATAGCTATACTGTTAGAAAGATTGCTGCTGAGACGTCTCCGTCCGTGCATCCAACTTCGGGCGGAGCAGCACGGATTCAGGAGGGGTCACTCTACAGTCACACAATTGACTAGAGTGTTGCGCCTGCTTGCGGCAGAATACAACCGTGACCGCATATCGTTGGGCGTCTTTCTCGACATTGAGAAGGCGTTCGACCGGGTGTGGCACAGGATTACTTTATAAACTGCATGATGAGACCAGTGTCCCTCTTGCTATGTTGCGGCTAATGGTGTCTTTCCTGGAAGATAGAAAGTTCTACGTTTGTGTAGATGACGCCGAATCCGCAACACGTACCATCAGAGCCGGCGTTCATCAGGGCAGCTGTTTGTCTCCAGTTCTGTACGCGGCTTATACCAACGATATCCCTACACTGGCAGGAAAACTGCAAGAGTGGGAGGACGAGGTGGAGCTGGCGCTATATGCGGACGATAGCGCCTATTTTACCTCGTCCAGAAGAGCCCATATAGCCACTGCCGGAATGCAGCGTCTGCTGGACCTGTTGCCACCATGGCTAAACGAGTGGAGGATGGTCGTCAACGTTGGTAAGACGACCGCTCTGCTCACTCGCCGTCTCAGAAACCTACCACCTCCGCTGATCCTCAATGGCCAGAAGATCGCGTACGAGAAGGCCGTGACCTACCTTGGGTGCTGGATCGACCGGGCGCTGCGCATGACTGCGCACGTCGACTTCGTCGTCCGCAGAGCCAGATGTGCGCGGGCGATGCTCCGTCCGGTCCTGGCATCCAAGCTGCCAACTAAAACCAAGCTCCGGATATACAAGATGTATATCCGGACCATCATCACCTACGCTGCTCCGGCCTGGTACGCGCTTCTGAGCGACCCTCTGAGGCGGTGACTGCAGTCCCAACAGAACCTGTCATTAAGGACGATCGTCGGAGCAGGTCTCTACGTCCGGAATGACGTCATTGCGGCCGATCTGAAAGTCGAGACCATCACAGACTTCGTGGCTCGGCTGGCGCGCGGCATGTTCGACCGCGCCGACAACGGGCCATACGAACCTCTTCCAAGAGAACTCCTCTCTACATCGATTAGAGAGTCGAGTAACAACCCACAATGCCGCTGATAGGCCAACTCTAACTTTTACCGGACAACCTCCTTTTTTTCCGTAGTTAACCGACTGCGGAAAAAAGTTCCTACCGACTGAGGACTAATCCGCGTAAAATCTACGACGCCTGAAAAGGCTCCCAGGACTGACCCATAGCTGTGGGCCATGAGGAAGATCCGGGCAATGGGGGCATACCCCGAGGCCCGATACCTGCATGGCATATACATGTCATATAGACGGCAACTCAGCTTCAATGCGTTTGGGATAGTTCGGGATAAGCTACAGCATAGTGTTTCCGGCTACAGTTTCCAGATTCATAGTTATAAATCAAGAAAGAAAATGAAATCAGGAAAAGTAAAGTAAAAGTAGTGAAAATTTTGTATCACATTTCCAAGGGGCAGATACGAATAATTGCTGTTTTATTTCATCAGTGTTTATACTATAAGTAGTGAAATAAGAGGATATATAGTCCACTAAGTTCATGACTGACGTCTGGACCGGGACCGTTCCTTGGGGCCAGTAAACTTAGTCGTCAATCACTTTCTTTTGAGAAAACGGTTAAGGTTCTAAGTCGAACGTCTGATCAGGGGTCACGCCTACCACAGTAATTCCCGAACCCAACGAGGTGTGTCATAGGAAAGGGGACCAGTAATTGCTTGTCACTGTTACGGCATGAGACGAAGAACGCGGCCGTACTTTTCAGGTGTAGTTGGCTGGATGAAAAACTTGTGAAGTGAATGGTCTCCCCGAGTCGATGTCAAAGGTTGCTCTTTCGAGCCTAGAGTGATTATTGTTGAATTACTCAGGGGAGCCGTTCTCTCCGAAACTATATTCTTGCCGCATATCAATGACCTGCTCATACCTGTTATCAATGGGTACACAGATGACAGCACAATTGTGGAGATATATCAACCTAGTGCTCGCGCCAGTCGAGATCAAATCCAGTCCAAAAGGGAAACTGATTGAACGTGTGAATCTCTTATTGCAAGAGATATGTTTAATATTTTAAATTTCTTCTGAAATGTCAAAGCTAAGAATGCTGATTGAATTTAAATTTTAAGTTGATTGGTTTCTAGTACCTACTACTTAGAGGTTATACCCCAGCTAATAACACATATAAATACGTTAGAACGAGTGCTAAAGAAATTTCTTAAGTACCTTTATTTCAATAATAACAAAATACACAGGCAATTAACTTACATTGAAAGACTAGATAACTGTAACATGATTTCATTAAATGATCGAAGAGCGCTTATAGACATGTGCTTATTACACAAAATCGTTAAAAATAAAATTAGCTCGAATAATCTTTTAAGTAAAATATCATATGTTATTCCTAGACCTAATTCTAGAATAAGAAATTATAGTTTATTCAAAACTAGGTATTGTAGAACAAATGTCGGAATATCAGCTCCAATTAATAGAACCTTAAAAACTTATAATGTAATTTCTAAATTAGTCGATCTTGACATATTCAACGATTCTTATACCACTTTTAAAAATAAAATTAAAAAACATTTTTATAACAAAATTAAGATAACCTCATGAGTTATTGTAGAGAAAAAAAAGTTTTTGTTTTTTTCTTCTTTTTGTGATGCATTAAAATAGGTTATTTTGTTATCCTTTCTTCTTTTTTTCAATAAAAATGTGCGTTACTTATTATTTTACTTTAACATGTTAAGTTAGCCTATAAGTATGATATGTACTAAACTTCAGATTAATCTATAAAATTTGTAAACATTTTTTCATTGTACAATATCATGTTGGCTTCCTAACAAATAAATAAATAAATAAATAAACTCCGTCACTAATTGCACCATTATTGAACAAAAGCTACCTGTGGCGAAAGATTCAGGAAAATACGATTCCGTAGTCAAATTCCCGGTTTTATCACATATAAACAGCTTCGATTCCTTAGTAACAAGGTCATATCAACCGGTTTGCTTTTTGCTTATGTTCTCATAAAAAAAATTAAAGAGATGGCGATGGATTTCTCTACCGTGATTTCGTTTTTGCAGTTTGATATGCATATTTCATCATCATATTACTTTGAGTATATAAATAAAAAAATTTTAAAGCTAGGGTGTGCTGCTGCTAGTAATTTATTTTTTATATGTATGTATTTTTGTAGAATAATCGCCCAGTCATAAAAATCTGTCATAGTTAATAAGACTAACGATCTTAAAATGTAAGGGTAATAAAAATATTATAAATGAAAATCATGTTGGTAGGCTGATGTTAATAAATCAGACTAGGCTGTATGGGCAAAGACTCCTTTGTTATGAAATATTGAAAGTATAACCTTAAAGTTATTAATTAGCTTGCTACATATTTATCTATGATTTAATTTTTATAATATAAAAGAATATTGTTTACTATTAACATAATATTATGTTCCGAAGTGTATTAAACAAATTTTATTATAATAACTTATCGTGTGGGTTACACACTACAGCATGTTTGAACGAAGTGCAACTGTTGACACGGCTAAGGGTTGTGGATAATTCAGAGATTGGCAAACGAGCCATGGCAGAGGGAAAACCACCGAAAGTTATTTGCGTTTACAACAAAAAGCGTTCGTTACATTTTAATACTAATATCTAGTTACCTAGTAAAAAAATAAGTAGTAATAATTTCCTAAATCTTATTAGAAATTGTTTTATGATAAATTTTACTTGTAGAATTCTGTACCGAAACAATTTTTATTTTGTTCTTACATCCATCCATAGCTTTTAACAATTAGAACTACCAAATAATTAAAACACTTATTTAATAATATTTGGCAATGTATCACAATGTGATGTGCAAGTTGATCTGATGGTGATCTTATGTTATAAGATCAAGGAGTTGTTATAAAGTGTGTTGTAAAATAAATGACTTTTGCTTTAAATATTTATGTAGAAGCAGTAAATTATAAATAAGTAAATAAATATGTATTTTGCAGGAATCGGTTATATCGGAGATAGAGTACTTGTAGCAATTAAAGGACAGAAGAAAAAGGGTATTCTTGTGGGCTTGAAGCAGATTCAAAATGTCAAAGTGCCCAAATTTGATAGCAACAATGTGGTACTTATAGACGACAACGGAACACCATTAGGCACTCGCATCCATGTTCCCATACCTACTATCCTGCGTACCATTCTCAAGGAAAGGACTCATGCTAAAGGAGCTGATTATACAAAGTTGCTGTCAATAGCAACTAAATTTGTTTAGTGTTAATAGTTGTATTTAGTTATTATATTAGTGTAAATAAATTTCTTTACAGTTGAATAATTTTTAATTCCACTTTAATTCCAGAAAGTAGTGAATAAATGTCTCTGTAATTAATGTATAGGTACTCGATCACTTCCAATTATATCCCAAATAGTGATCTTAACATGTTTCTGACAACCAGCAAATGGTGCAAACAATATCCAAAAGTCCCAGATCTGAATTTATAGACTGATGAAGGGAAACAGCATTATCCTCATGCTCATCCAATGTAAGTGAGCATGGACAACACCCAAGGTTTCTTGAAACATCTCTTTTCAACAAAAGTTTAAAAAGATGAAAAAAAAATGGCAGAGGCATTTACAAAGAGCCAAAAGTTCTTTTAAATTATTTAAACTTGATAGAATTTTGCCACTGTTAAGTCGGTCTTAGAGCCAAAAGTTAATTTAATAAGAAGTTACATCTCATAGGAAATGTGTAAACCTGTCATTGTATGTATCAATAGTGTGATGTTCTACGAATAATTGTTAGGGATCTGCAGCTGATGTTCAAATTATATTTATACTATAGCCATTAATGCCATTTACAGTATCAGGCCAAGGTACTCATGTAAGATCTATTTAAACAAATTAATATCACTTACTTCACAGTCCTTACTAAATAATTATTATTTTATAACAATTTTAACACTTGATAAAAAGACAAATGTTATCCTCTATAATTTGCTTAATAAATGTAAGCTCTCTGTTCCAAAGTACAGGCTCCATAAAACGAGTGTCTCATTTGTGGGTAGATGTATAAGCATTAATTACAAAATTTTCTGTTTAATAATATATGAGTATGAGGATGACATAATGAGCTTTCTTATCCGTAAGATTATTAAATGAAATTCTGCCATCAGAGTGATTGGTGGTTACACATGTTTTTGTATTGGAATAAGTTTTTAACCCTTTTTTGATTCAAATTGGTGTAAAATCTCTCAATTTTTTGTGTGTTGTCTCTGTGTGTTCTGTTTGTTAGTAGGTGAGTAGTATTTTTTGTTTAGTTAATGTAGATCTGTGTGACGACGATGGAGGTTGACGGAGGAGATGCTGAACCACCGGATTTACCTGGTGATTCTGGCCCTGTTAAACGTAAACTCACGGATTCCTTACCATTACCCAACTTCCTAAAGAAAAAAATAGGGCACGAAGATCACCCTTCTGCCTCCTACCAAAATACATATGTCCACCCTGACTTCCAAGATAAATAAAGTATGTAGATAGAGATAAAGGCCCATTTGTAATACATTTAAGCCACTCAGAACCTGATCCATCTGCAGGTTATACAATTAGACCTATGAAAATTGGTCATATCCTTACCCAAAATAAAGTGGCCAATATTGAAAAACAGGGTATCAAAATTTTAGGGCGCAACAGGGTTTCAATTGCTTTTAAAACTGCTAATGATGCTAATAATTTTATTGACTCAGAGTTTCTCTCACATTATAAACTTTCTGCTGTTATTCCAACTTTTAATGTCACCCGTATGGGTGTGATCAGGGGTATCCCGACTGACATCTCTATGGAGGAATTAGTGAGCGAGTCTGAGCTCCCTCCTGGCAGAGGAGAAATCATTAAAGCAAGAAGACTTAACAGAAAGGTCAAAAAGGGTCAAAAATATCAGGTGCTTGGTGGGGTTCTCACCCCTACTCACAAAAGCTTTTATACAATGCTCTAATTAGAAGTCACTTTGATTATGGGTGCTTCTTACTAGAGCCTTGTAGCAAAATGGCTCTTAATACCTTGGACAAAATCCAGTCAAAATGTCTACGTATAATAACTGGTAGCATGAAGTCCACTCCCATTCTCGCTCTTCAAGTTGAATGTGTTGAGCCCCCTCTATCTCTACGCAGGCAATATCTCTCAGATAGGTTCTTGTTTAAAGTAGCATGTTATTCACTCCATCCTCTCCTTTCCAAACTTCATTCCTTGTATCGGTTGGTCAGGGACTCCCCATATTGGTCCCACAAGGATTTGCCATGCATTATAAAAAGCTATATTAAATTGCTCAACATTCCCTCTCCAATTTATCAATCCCTTAGTAACTCACTTTACACTATCCCTTACGAGGCTCTAATTTTCAATCCAGACATTATTCTAGATATTGGAATAGATAAAAATACTATTGAAGCAAATAACAAATTAAATATGCTCCTCCTCCAAAATTGGCATGATTGGTTAACTATGTACACTGATGCTTCAAAGTTAAGTAACGATGGATTAGTAGGGTGTGCAGTGTGGATCCCTAAATACAGGATTATTTTACATTTTAACTCTCCCCCCTGACTCATCTGTATTCACAGGTGTTGCTTTGGCTATTTTACAGGCAGTTTCATATGCAGAATCACATGGTCTGAAAAGGACCCTCATTTTCTCGGACTCCCTTAGTTGCCTTCAAAGTATTTTATCCAGTCCTTTTCACTCTAAAATTAGATACCCGCTAATTTTAAATATTAGAAAGTCTCTGTACTATTGTCATAAAAAAGGGCTGAACATTGTATTGGCTTGGATCCCTAGCCACTGCGGGATTCAGGGCAATGACAATTCTATAGTAAAAGATGCCACAAAATCTGGCTCTATCCCTAGACAATGCCTCTATGCACATGACCTCCTGCCAAAGGCCAACTCCGGCCTTCTGTCTTCTTGGCAAAGTTATTGGCATCAGTCTAAATTTTTAAAATGTAATCAATATTCCAAAGTCCAAATTAATCCCATCAAAACCCTGGTTCTTTCAATATCGCCACTTTAGTAAAACTACCATCTCTACTGTTTGCCGCCTACGCTTTGGTCGTGCTTGTACTCCTGTACACTTGGCCAAACTCAGGATTAGGGATAGCTCAATCTGTGAATCTGGCCTAGATGAAGGATCTGTCAATCATCTGTTCTTTGAGTGTCCTAAACTTTATTTCTCTCTCTACGATATCCTGCCCAATTACATCCCTCGTGCAGTAAATTTCCAATTTTTGCTAACCCTAGTGTATACTCCCTTCGTAAATATTTTATGTGCTTTTATTCGTACTAATAATATTAAATGTAAAATTACTTAACACTTTGTATGGTAGTTTAAATATGTGACGTCTTTTGTTGTAGATTGTGAACCCACTCATTAAATTGAGAGCTCTTATTTTACCTATTATCACCTTGTCACTTCCATGACTGACTTAACACTGGCAGAATTCTACCAAGAGAAGCCATAATTTAAAAGAAGAAGAAGATTATTAAATTACGCAATGAAGCTTATAAACGTTATCGTTCATCTGGACTAAGCAAGCATAGAGATTATTACGGGGAGCTGAAAAGTTATGTAATATTTAATCAGTATATAAACCGTAACCTAATTAACTCTAAAGCTCTCTAGAAGAACCTATTTTATTTATTACTAGCTTCTGCCCGCGACTTCGTACGCGGATCCTGTTGCTTATGCCAGCGACAACGGGGTCGTCAAAATCGAAGATCTGAAACGTCTGATGTTGAATTCTAAGAGCCCGGGGACAGGAAAACAACGTGATTCGCGAGACAATTCGAGACGTTCTAGATCTTTCATTTTTGTAAGTCAACAGAAACTGCCCATCAGAATAAACAACTTTTGCTAAGACGTCATTCCGATATATGTTATAGTGTCGCTGGGCTTTGGAAGGAGTGTAACTCCTTGTGTGTTATTAAGTTAATATATTGGTAATATTGTTTAGATCACGTTCACATGAGGCTTAAGTACTTATAGAACAAAAATACTTCAGCGCAAAGCTTCCGGGTAAACTATGTTGAAAGTTGACCCGTCGGGCACGTGAACATAAAGATTTCTAGAACTGCTAACCCGGGAAAGAGCGACGTACAACTGACCATGCGAGAAGCAACTGACACCGAGATATACTCCAGCAACACGAAAAGTCTGTCCTTGAGCCTTATTAATTGTCATTGCATAACACACTGATTTGCGTTCTTTTAAATTGGAATGGAAAATTATTTCGTATTATGGGAATTCTGGGAATAAAGACGGTTTCTCCTGCACCGCAACCTGTTAAAATTTGAGCCTCGATTATACTTTGTTGCAACTGGGTTACTTTTAGCCGAGTTCCAATGCAAAGTTGTGGTGGTCTTAAACGGAGCAGAATAATCGGAATGCCAATTTTTAAACAAATTTCATGAGAAGGAAGTCCGGGCATATTTAAAGAATTTAAAAATTCTATCGGGTAATTAGTGGCTTCTTGTTCATCGACCATTCTATTTATTGAACTATAATAATCGTTTTTTAGGTGGCATTGTGTATTTTATTTTTAATCGACGGCATTCAGTTACCTAACAAAATAATCTACGTTAGAGGTCTGAACTATAGCTACCATACACTTAAAAAAAATCTAAATGCCTACTTAAATAATAAAACGGATCCTAAATAAATCCTTAAATCCAAAATTACTTACTTACTTACTTATCGTAAGTAAGTAAGTAAGTAAATCCAAAATTAAGACGCTACCCTGACCAAAACCTGGCAAAAGTGCGTTTTTCAGACTCTATTATCTCATTAGTTATGAAAAATAAACTACATCTAAAAGTACATTATTAATGTTCGATATCTTATCATCGCATTCCACGTTCTAATTTATTTTTATGTGCTATAAATACATTTAAAATCAACTTTTAAAAAATGACTAAAATTCTTGATTACATGCATCTGTTGCTAAACGCAACGCTCTAATCATTTGAGGATAACACTAATGGATAGATAATGAAAACATCTATATTCTCCACGTTTTATTTAAATTTTTAAGTTCGTTTTTCCTCTTTTAATTGAAATAATTCCGAAAATTGTGTAACTTCTATGATAAAGGGGCGTGCGCAGAGTGCGGGCGGCATTACCAGGCTCTACAATTTCAGTTTATACAAAGGTACTCTGTGGGCATTACGCTGTATGCGTTTGTACGAGGTGGCCGCGTCGCTGGTCGCTGCGTCCGCATTTCGCCGCAA